CCGTACATAATTTTGCAATTCCGCAACCAAAGCAACTAGATAGCTGAAGTTCCATTAACCTCATTAACAAACATCTTCGGGTTACTACAGGTGAAGTCAATTTTCATTTTTTAAATCTCATTTACGAGTTATGAGAGACAATTTTGCAATTCGGCAATCAGACCAGCCAGAAAGCTGTAATTTTTCGAACATGTACACGGCCATTTGAAATAAGTATGCGCTAAATTAATTGCCACGTTACTTAAATCTTACAGGCAGACGCTTAGAAGTTGACGTTGGTAATTTTGTGATTTCGCAATCAAGAGAGCTGAGTAAAAATTTTTATAAGCTTAGTCATCGAACCGTGTGCGAGTAGGTTTAAGCAAAATCAATTCTCAATTCCTTCGGAGTATCAATTGCGAACACACGGAACTTAATGCGGATGATTTCACAGCGGGGCAACCGACCAGCTGAAAGGCTGAAATTTTGTGCGCATGGTTCATGTTGTTTTGTAACTGTACATAAAGTCAGGTTTCAATTTTTCTGTCTCACAAACCCAGTAACAAGAGTAACAATGGATACTCACACTGATTTTCAAGGCAGCTGGCACTCTTGCTATATATATACCATGCATGCAAGATATATATTATCTATATTAAATTGAAAGCTATATATGCTATATGGCATGTAAACTACACGTACAGCTACATATTTATATAATTGTGCGCGCAGTTTTAAATATCGCCAATGAATTACTTAAATTCACTGCAAATAAGTTTTTGTTTTGGGTAAATCAGGTAGTCAGTCATAAGGTAACTGCCGCGCTTGTCTTCATGAGTCTAGAGCTCATTTATAAAAATACTAATTTTCCATCTATTTTCTAGTATTAAAATTCGTGAATTTTCTTACAGTGTGATAATTTCATTGGCTTTATAAAATTATTTCTTATTGTGCCTGCTATTGTCTAAAAACTGCATGAGAAAAGCAAAAATAATGGAGTGGAAGTAGAATGAAGTGAATGATATGAGTTGGATTTTTAAAAGGAAATCTTTATAAGGCACTACTAGTGGGCCACATTATTACAAATTTTGCGATATTACTCCCTAAAGAATAGGGTACTTTAAAAATCTAATCATTTGAAAAAAAAAAAAGATTGTTGGAAGCAAAAGAAAGAACCTGGAGTACACAGGCATGCAGCTTGCAGTTGACGGCGGTTCCTCTTCAGTTTTTGAAGCTTGTGTTCTTGAGAAACCGATTGTGCTGGAATAAACTCAGTCTTTAATTTCTGCAAGCTGCATGCGAGCGAAACTGCTGCAATTCCTTTCCTGTCTGCCTTTTTCACCGCATTTCGCCGATCCGAAATTCAGAGTGATCCGAAATCCGGCTCTTTGTCGTTCTTTGAAAAATTTCTCAATTTATGGGCAA